ATTCTTTTTTATATGAATGTTTCTCATCTGATCTGGCCTATACTTTATCCTCTTCCATCCTCTCCTCCTGACTAAAACCTAGAGAATCTCTATCAATAGACTCTCCTCTAAGAGAAGTCTCTGTCTGATCCACGTGCTCCTCTGCAGCAGTCGGTTTCCCCCATCTCTTAGTTTAAAAACTGCTCTGCAACCTTTTTAATGTTAAGCGCCAGCAGTCTGGTTCCACTTTGGTTTAGGTGGAGCCCATCCTTCCTGTACAGGCTCCCCCATCCCAAAAGTTTCCCCAGTTCCTAATGAATGTAAACCCCTCCTCCCTACACCATCGTCTCATCCACGCATTGAGACTCTGAAGCTCTGCCTGCCTACCTGGCCCTGTGCGTGGAACTGGAACCATTTCTGAGAATGCCACCATAGAGGTCCTGGATTTCAGTCTCTTCCCTAGCAGCCTAAATTTGGCCTCCAGGACGTCTCTCCTATCCTTCCGTATGTCATTGGTACCTACATGTACCATGACCACCGGCTCCTCCCCAGCACTATACATAAGTCTGTCTAGATACCTTCGCACCAGGCAGGCAAGTCACCATACGGTTCTCCCGGACATCACAAACCCAGGTATTTATGTTTCTAATGATCAAATCTCTCATTGCTAACACCTGCCTTTTCCTAATGACTGGAGTTTCTTGGATGTCTTTCATCAGGCCCTGCTGATTTTAAGACATCTTCAAAAATTATCACTAATGACTCAGAAATATCTTCTGCCAAGTCCTTAATGAGCTTACTTTGCAGTTTGTTAGATATTAGGAAAAACTTTCTAACTGTAAGGATAGTTATGATCTGGAATAGGCTTCCAAGGGATGTTGTGAATTCCCCATCATTGGAAGTTTTAAAACAACAGCTTGGACAAACACCCGTGAGGGATGGTCTAGGTTGGCTTGATCCGTCATAGCACAGAGGGCTGGACTTAATAACTTCTTGAGTTCCCTTGTAGCCCTTCCTTTGTATTGTTCTATGCTTTCTTCCATGCTGCTCCTTGCTCCCCATAAACATCCCGAGACCTACTTGATTAGCTCCCTTCCCATCCCGCCGTACAACTCCGCCGTACAACTCCCCCCCCCAGCCCAAAAGCCTGTTCCAAACTTGTCCCACCACACCAAAAATCCCTCGAGGTTCACACCCAGGCCCCTTCCCAGCATTTACTTTCCTCTTCCTCATCTCCATTACTCCTGACTCGCGCTTCCCCAAGCTTTTGCACTGCTTCTGAGGGATGCGTGAAATACATTTCTGTATTGTAGTTTAAATGAATTATTACTCAGAGTTCTGTATTAATATTCCTTGTAATTAATCTATTTGTCAAAAAATATTTCCTGAATCTTTTTTGTTGTCTGTATTGTTAAGACATACTTGCTGACAGGTATTTTGAAATAAATTACCAAAATAATTGAAAATGGCATGATTATATTGTGTTATTTTGACAAGTAAAATATGTAGAATTTTACAGAATTTTAAAATATATGCAGAAATTTAAATTTTTGGTGCAGAATTACCCCAGGAGTAGAACTTGTGTTCATGTCACAGATGATCAGCAGCCAATGGTTTCTTCTCAGAGTGCAGCTTCCATAGGTTTTGAGTGGAGGTGAGAAGTTGCCGTCCCCTTCTCCCAAGTATTTCCTATTAATCCCATTTACCTTTGTTTAGCACGTTGTTTCAAAGAGTCTTTTAAAGCTCACAAGACTTCCTAGGGTTTATGTTAGCCAGGTCTCCTCCCTGGAGACGTTAAAGACCATCCCATGGTAATACATACACATTCATATTTTTAATAAAATGAAATCCAAGGATACTGAGAATTTAATTCAGTAAGGTTTGACTTAATTCAATAAGGATGGT